GTACATGGAACATTCCTCCCTCTCTCTCGCTCAAGGCTGACCCACCAACTGTTTGGTGGATAGCCCACTAAATTCAAAGGGCAACTTTTAAGTTACGGTGGATGGGTGGAAACTTCCAAGTTACGACTTGAACCTTTGCGTGGATTGCGTCATAACTCAGGCATCACGCACAAGTCTCCATCTCAAGCCACACAAAGAAATTTTTAACGTCCACTTTTTTGCTTTTTTTTGACGGTGTTTCATGCGCTTTATCCTCCCGCTGCCATTTGCAACATGTGCCACCACAGCGGCCGTTCACTGCGGCAGCTCAAACAAGGAAACCAAGTAAGCAGTCCAAACATCGAAAATAAAGACAAACCAGCACAGATACTGAAAAGGTAAAAATACCGCACTATAATGACGACCTCTTGGGCCAAGGTCGCCGCCATGCCATCAAAAGCAAGCGGCAAGTCTAACAAAAAGAGGCTGGCGCTGCCACCTCCAGGTGGCAAAGGTCAAGTTTCAGAGAACCCACCGGCTACTGCTGCAGCGCCGGTGGAAAGGTCAAATTCAACCAACCTGGCTGATGTAGCGGCAACTGCACCAGGCCCACCGCTAGGAACCCCTGCTGCTACTGGCGCCCCGCCAGTGCAGCTAGCAATTGGGAGCCTGCCGCCGCAGTAGTTGGAAAGTTTGATCATTTGCCGCTGATTGAAGTGAAAGGGCGGAGGAATAGGATCTGGTCCATAGTCACTGTCACATGTGTCTTGCGACGTTTTCAACAATGATTGCATTGCTGCGCGGCTTTTTGATGGATTCGTTTTATATTAAAGTTCATTGGTTATTCCGTTCCCAATAACGGAAGCTCGGTGCATCCCGGAACGCAATTGCGTCTCCCAGGTGTGGCCAGGGCCGCAAGACATCTGATGGAGCTGCTTTTGTTGGAGAAGAGAACTCCGCGAGGTTGCAAGCCTTTAAGTGTCATTCCAGCATTCTCACGCTGTTGCGTTCTTCACTTGTGACAGGAGTGCGCCGGTCCATTGTCAACGCTTCCGGTGAGCAGTGTTTCGGCTCAAAGATGTAGTGAAACGTTTCAGCCAAAACGACGAAGTGGCAGCATTTGCACCTTCCAATGGGGTGGGCCCCCCATCGCTTGGAGTGCAAGTTTGTGGAGCCCGGCCGCCAGGCGCGGAGACTCAGCAGGGTCGTCTATATGCCCACAGGGTCGTCTATACGCCGCGCACGTAGTTTGAATGCTTCCGCGCTACCCTGTGGCACGCTAGCTCTTAGCTTCTGGATGCGCGCGTCGCTGTTTGGTGACGTTAGGCGGAAGTCTTCTGGAACGTGGGTACGCCGCCTTGCGTCAACAATGTGCATCAAGAGGCCGTTGCGCGCGCCAGAGTTGTCGCGGCAGAATTCGGCTTGAATTCGGCAGGCGGCGATGTTTTGGAGATCTTTGCAGGCGAGTCTGTGGCTGACTCATCGGCGTTGCTGCTTACAGGCAACAACGAACATGTTTTATTTATTTGACAAATTGAATCAAGATGATAAGGTTCGTGTTTAGTTTGTTCAAGTCATCGTCAGCTGTTTGCGCTTCCGGGTGTGAAGTGAGACTTTAGAATCTTTAGAATATTTTAGATGAAGTTGAGTTTTGGATATCTCCTATTAAGATTTGTTGAGGTCCTTATTTCCGGAACGTCTCGATCGCAGTGGGCCAAGGCTACGAGTGCCCCATCCGCCACCAGATGTGGTGGTACCTCAATGATCGCGTCGGTCGTCGGCCCTGTGAACAGCAGCGCCGTAACCAGTCCTTGTTTCGTTTCACCGCCAAACCGGCGCTGGGGAAGATCTCAGAATACTTCTGCCACTCAAGGTAGACAGAAGCAACATAGAGCCTATGCGTCAAGGCAGAAGAATGATGGTTGGAACTGTCGCGAAGAGATGAGAGATCTCCCCCTTTGGACCACGAAGGACTTCCGCGATGCAGTGGTGGAAACGGCAGAGTGGTGGAAACGTCAGTGCTGTCCTTCCACCTTCACTGAGGATGAAATCTACACATAGGCAGGGGAAGGGAAGGTGATGAAGGTGACTGGCGGTCACGGTTTCGCAAAACTGTTCGTTTCCTACCGAACCATACAGCGATACAGTGTACCATACAAGCGAAACAAACCTATAGGGACACCCATTGCGCCTTGCCAAGCCAATTCAAGAAAACGTGCGCGCCGCTGCGCTGTGTTTTTTCAGCTGTCGCAAAGTAGACACAATTAGACCTAGGACCTTGTTTCGCAATGTGGAGGGTAGAAAAGAAACAATAAGAACATGTTGATGTGGATAGATGGATGTGGGTAGAGTGCAGACAGGCAGGTCACTAGATGGCTAGTCGGGTGAATGGATGGGCCGGCAGACGGCTGGATAGAAGCGGAGGAAGAGGTAGAGAGAGAGGGCGCCTGCCACAGCGAGATCGAGCGAGTAGAGAATGAACATGAAATTTGACGGCTCCTGGACTTTGAGTGCGCTTGTAGGTAGGTCCATGGATGGCCAGCTAGCTGGATGAATGTGGTGGAAAGAAGGGAGAGAGTGTCAGAGAGGGAGAGAGAGAGAGCGCAAGATGAAGAGAGTAGCTGAAGCGATAGAGAGATAGATAGAGGTATAGAGAGGTAGAGAGATTGTGAAGTAGATGTGCTTGGATGTAAACGAGGATAAGTAGATGTGAATACATGAGTGTGTGGAGCGTGTAGATATTTCAATAACTAGATGGATGGATGAGAAGGGGGTGGAGTGTCAGATGTACGGACGGTGAGACACAGAGAAGCTGAACAGATAGGGAGATAGAGACATAGAGAGAGATAGAGCCACATAAAGATAGACAGATTGTTAAATAAACATGGCTAGGCGGCTAGATGATGCTAGATGTAAAAACTTGATACGTAGCTGTGGATAGATGGATGTGTGTAGAGTGTAGATAGGTCAATGGATGGCTGGTGGGACGAGTGGGCGGGTGGGTGCTTGGTTGGTTAAAAGCGCAGAGAGAGAGAGGCAGAGAGATAGAGATGGAGAGCTAGAGAACATATGGAAACCATCCCGAGGGGTGCCTTTTGTTTTTGATGGATTGATAGCCAGCAGATTCTTTCACAGAACAATGATTGGGCAAAACGGTTGAAAACAGCTGATAGACAGTCATGTTGCAAGGTGATTGATCGTGACAAAAGGAAGGGGGAAGACGGGGCAGAGCAAAGACGCAAAGTGCCGTTTAAAAGTCATTTGTTTTCTCATGGCTGCGCAGGCTATAGTCGTTTGATCTCTTGCCTTGGAACCCGTGTTTGAACCCGATGCAGGATGGCACGTGGGGTACAGACACCATGACCTTCCAAGATGACGAGCTCTCCTATGCTCTTGGCAAACAGGGCGGAACCAGGCCGGAAAGGTGCACAGAGGACGGATCACTGGCGTTGCAGTTTTGCCGTTGATTTGAAATTATACAGAAGGTTCCTCCAACTGACTCCAAGTCCGAGACACGTCATTTTCGGCATGGCGCCTGACTCCAGGAAAAAACTGGAGAGAGCATCTGGCGCTGTTGTTCAGTATGTTGGTCAGGCAACGAGCGGGCTGAGCCGAGATCCAGGTTGATCTTCACTTTCAACAATGGCCTCCAACCTGCTAGCGATGGCCTCCAACCTAATAGCCACGGCCTAATAGCGATGGCCTCCAACCTAATAGCCATGGCCTCCAACCGAATAGCCATGGCCTCCAATCTAATAGCCATGGCCTCCAACCGAGTAGCCACGGCCTCCAACCTGCTAGCCATGGCCTCCAACCTGATAGCCACGGCCTCCAACCTGCTAGCCATGGCCTCCAACCTGATAGCAATGGCCTCCAACCTTGGCAGGAACCGATGTCAGAGCTGAGAGAAAGCTTAACTAACTACTTCATCAAACAAACTCTCAACCATTTTCCACCGTCAACTATACAAGTCGCAAGGTTCTACCAGAAACTATATCCATGCAACCAATAGAGAAAACTCAACAAAAACTCCGCATCCGAGGCAAGGAGAATGTGCCGGCGCTGAGCTCTCCATGCCCAGCAACACCACTGACACACCCCGCGCAGAAAGCTTCCACAAGACGTGAGCCGCGAAAATGCGGGGTTGCCGACTGATTCGAACAGATCGACAGGTGCAAATGGGCGGTCCTGAGACCTTTGGAAGATGAAGATGACCTACGTATTTGCTCCGGAGACTTCAGATACAGCATCCCAACGGTTTTTGTAATATAGACGCATTTGTTTAAGAGTATATGTTGTCCAACTATTTTTTCATGTCAATTTCGGTGGAGTGCAGTACAACATCTTTGGCGGATTTCCAACAAGACACCACCTGCAGCCTACATGTACTTACACGTGCCAGAATCAGTTCCAGGAGGTTGATCTTGGGGCTTTGGGAGATGGTTGTTTTGTCAGTCTTGAGCGGAATTCTCCCTTCTGTTTTGCTGAGGGTGCAATCAACGACTCCTTTTGGACCGTAGCTCTCGAAAGTCACACCTCGCTGTAGTGAAATGCACAGTATGAGCATATTTGCAGATATATTGTGAAGATAGTGAGACGTGCTCCAACGACTTCAGCTAGTAAACATTGGGTGTGAAACTTCCCGTCTTGAAAGCCTGATGTGTGAGTTTGGGTTCTACCTGTGTGTTCAGGCCCGAAGGGTATTGGATCAAAGCGAAAGATCAAAGGCCTTGCACGCTCGCTCAGGAAACCACTAGCGGAGCAAACACAGAAGTCAGAAGATGTCGCTCATGCAATTCCACTTGGGTGGCTAAATCAGCATTCCTTCTTTCAGGCTTTGACTATGGTTTGATTCAGCAAATGTTGTACCAGGCAATAAAGTTTGAAGAGCGGGGACACACCCAAGATATATCCAACCACGCACATTCTGACGCACTCATATCTTCATTTATTTTGCCATTGTGGTGTGTGTGATTGCGACTGCGCTCACAATTCCGATTCAACAACGCCATGGCCTTCGTATGGCGACGGCGCTGAACCAGTTGAGTTTGGAATATTCATGTGCTGAGCTGTTGCAGGTCCGACACAGTAGCAACCCGCAAAAGAACAAAGCCCTTCTGATGCAAAGACGTAGTTTTCTTGTTTGTAGTGGCAATCGCTACTATAGGGTGGAGGCCATCGCTACAAGGGTGGAGGCCATCGCTACTAGGGTGGAGGCCATCGCTACTAGGGAGGAGGCCATCACTACCAATGTGAAGGCCATCGCTACTAGGGTGGATAACATCGCTACTATAGGGTGGAGGCCATCGCTACAAGGGTCCTGGAGGTGGAGGCCATCGCTACTAGGGTGGAGGGTGCGACGGGGTGCAGTTTTAGTTTGGTGTTCCTAGTCCATACCTTCTGGATATATGTTTACCGACAAACCGCTGATTCGCCATGCGATTCTGGAGGATGTTTCACAAAGAAGGGTTGAAAGGTATGAATGGAGTCTAGTTACTAGGAGCAAAGGGCATCGCTACTAGGAGCAAGAAACTACTAGGGGCTCCTGGCCTTACTACTAGGAGCAAGGACGCTATTAGGGGCTCCTGGCCTTACTACTAGTAGCATTCTTGCTATTAGTAACGAAGTTACTGGCTCCTGGCCTTATTTCTTTGCACCGAGTTTTAGCTCGTGCCAGAAGGGGTTGGTGGCAACGACGATTGCCCGGTGTCCCCACATTTTTGCTGGTATGTTTGAGTGAGCAGGCTACCAACAACTTCAGCGAGAACAATCGCTTAGGCTGGCAAAGCTTTGGCTGAGTCTTGTGGATGATAGTTTCTTTTAAGGCCTCAGGTCTGGCTAAAGTTTACTGCATATTTGATAAAGCCACTCATTTTCAGGCCCTAGGTCGGGAGGCGGGAGGAGGAGGCAGCGGATGAAGACAAGGAATCAAAACCCCATGCAAAGATATGATGTCAAAGCTGAAGAAAAGAGGATGGGTGAGATGAGCTGAATCAACTGAATCATGCTGTTACCATCCGGTCTGCCTAGGTCCAGCAAGTAGCCTCGTAGCCTTCCGGTTTGCCTCACCCGGACCCGATTCTTTCATCTGGACCCGATGTTGCAGGTGTACTTTCAACAGGCACTTCCGGACACACATCGGGACCCTTCTTTCGGGCACCTTCTTTCACCTGTGCTTAGCGCATTGGCTCTGCGCAGGTTATGGGACTTTTGGCGGTGTGTTTCGTGGCGTCCAGCGAGATGGCACAGAGATTGCCGTTAAGGCCGACATTGCAGGCATTGGTGTCGGACGCATTCATGGACGGCGCTGTGTGCAGGTTCTGGAGGGACCGGAAGAAGCTGGCTTTGAGGACTTGGCTTTGTCCCTTTGTGGTTGCACCGTGCCACAGCGCTTTAAAAGGGGCCACAACTTGGTCCGTGCAACCTCTTTACAACCAAGAACGTTGTCTTGTGTTGAGTAACGGTGCGGCCCGATCATTTCGTTTCGGATTTTTTGCCTCGAAATGGCTTTCAAAGCCGCTAATGGGAGGCCATCGCTCGTTGGGTGGCGAGGCCCAAAAGGGTGGCCGCTCGATGGGTCATGCGGCCGCGGTTTTAGGCGGCCAGGCCGCTTTGCCTCATATTTGGTTGAAGGGCAATGCTGTTGTTGCAAGAGGCCTTCTATCCCAGCCCAAGGACACTAAGAGGATACTCAGAGGCAGTTTCAGGAGTTGGGTCTTGGCCACCTTGATCTTGACTTGATGGGCAAGAACTCCAGAAACTCACCCAGATCCAGGAAGCATCCAGGAGGTCTTGTCCTTAGCCACTTCCAACAAGAACCCCTACACGTGTAGGCACAACCGGCAGGCGCCTTGCCGTGAGGAAGAGGTTCGCGTGCTGAGCAAGTTTCGGCATCCGAATCTGGTCATTTTAATGGGCTTCGCAAAGAACGGGCCTTGATCTCAGCTGTTCATCGATCTGACAGGAAAACACATGCTTTTTTTCGAACGCCTGTGTTAGAGTGGTTATTCTTTTTCCAAAGTGGCCAGAGGTATGCGTAAGAGGCATGTCGTTTTAAAAGGTCTGTTTCCTCGCTTTCGCTCTCTCAAGCGTAAGCGGTTGGACCTCAGAGGCCTCAACGGCTTTTGGTCTACGAACATTTGGGTGGCGGAGATGTTTTCCGGCGGCTCCAGAGATGCGCGGTGGACAATGTGGGCGGACCCAGACCGGAAATGCGCAGGTGTCCGTTCGTCACAAGGGCATTACTAGTAGCAAGAAGCTACTAGGAGCAAAGGGCATTACTACTAGGAACAAGAACGCTACTAGGAACAAGTGCATCGCTACT